GTCGCGTTTGCACAGAAGGCATCATCATCAACGGGGAGAAGCGTGCCGGCCTGCGACTTGAGGCGTCCCCCGCTGAGCTCGCGAAGATGTGTCTGCTGCTCCAGGCTTGACCCGTAGATCTGCGAGCCATCCAGGTAGTGAGTGAGAACATCCTGCTGCTGGGCATCAGTCGTGGCACCACAGGCGGGAGCTTCGGCGGGCAGAGAGCGAACAAAGTCCATACAGCGCACTCCCAGAGGACCGTAGAACGGGTCGTCGGCGGGGATATCGATGGCGAAGCACTGCGGATGCGTGTCGGCAGCGGGCAGCGCCTGGCCGTCCGCCGTACAACACGCGATGCCCGCACCGCCGCTGAGAGTGAAGATGGGCGTCAGCGCCAGGTCGTGGTCGACGAACTGCCCCCACTGCATCACGGAGAGGGTGAAGCGGTCGTCGGCGGCGTCGGAGTCGGTCGTGGCGGTGGTGCTGACGCGGCGGGCGGAGGGCAGCGGCGAGCCGTCCGTCTGCTGGGTGCGCGGTGTGAACACGCCGTCCCCGTACCGGCTCGGCAGGAGACGCAGCATCCCCTGGCCGGCCATACCCAGCTGCCGGTTGGTCGGGTTGTTGCAGGAGCCGTCGGCGGTGCGGAAGGACGGAGAGGAGGGACACGCCGGGGTCGACGGGTCCGGACAGCTCGTCCCGCCGCCGCCGCCGCCGCCGCCGCCACCCGAGTGGCCGCGGCCTCGGTCGCAGCGTTTGGAGGACTCCAGCTGAAGGAGAGCTCGCCGTGCGGAGCTCTGCTGCGCCGGACTGTAATTCTGCGGACGTCTGTGAGATCTTGACGCTCCGCGAGCCACCAATCCACGCTCCAGCAAGCGACTTTCCAAGTCCTTCTGCGCAGATAACACCTCTTCCGCCTTGTATGCATGTATGTATGTATTACCGTCATGGACAGTCTGCACGTGGCCCTTGGTGTCTTCCGAACTCGTGCATTTTGCGGGCTTCCCGCGGCGCCGAGAGCTGATAAGATCGGGAAGGGACCCGGTAGTTCCACCGCTCGGGGGCGGTCGGCAGCAGACTCCGGTGGACTGGTCGGACAGAGTGCAGCTGGTCAGAGACACGCCGGCCGGTGCCACGCGGCACTGTGACGGGGGCAGACAGCGGCAGGTATCGCCGCCGCCGCCGCCGCCGCCACCGCCCGAACCGCCGCCGCCTCCGCCTCCGTGGTGGTGGTGGTGTCTCGCGGCAGCCGCGAGGGATACCACCGCTAGCTGGAAAACAAAAACAAGACAAAGCTCCGTAAGAATCTTGAAGGGCGGCCCAATACTGGAAAAAAGCTATCATAAGTTTTAACTTGAGTTATAAGTAGGCACATAATTTATACCTAACTTGAGTTATAAGTTAAAATGAGTTATACGCTGTCGAACTTACTTTAAATTATGCCTTTTTATTCAAGTTCATTCATTCATTTACGGAAAGCTAGTATGAAATTAGCCCTCAACTGATATTTGGTCTCACGGAATACTCCGATCATTTGAGCCCGCGCCGTAACTTAGCCACCTATTGTTTCCTGAAAACAATGTTACTGGTCCGCGTCGTGCTGGTGGTCTGAATTTTCCATGGAGTGCTGGGGAGGGGGGGGGGGCGTTTTCACGAAACATCGTCTAACTCGGTTCATTGGTCACGTAGCGACAAGCGGTAAGCGGCGTCCCGAAAGGGCGTCGAAAAATTATGACGATAGTACTTCGGTAATTTTTTAGGGCAGGTCAAAGATTAGTTTACTAGAGGTCATTAAAGGCCAATTTCCGCCTATTTCGACAGTTTTTGACAAATTGGAGCATAATTCGTGAATGAATAGGTTTACAGGGCCGCGGAAATGCGCATTTAACTCTTAACATTCTTTTTGGAGTTCGTCCTCAGATTTGATCAAGTTAACACTAACACTACTCGCAGAGGGCAAAAACTCTTTAAATGGATGTTTTTACAGTTTTTCGTAATAACCTTTGACCCAAAACTGGCACGACATTTATTTTGCCGGCATCGTGTTTCCCTGATCGAGCCGCGTCGAATGAACTATTATTTTACCTTACAAGGTGTAGGTCATGACCTGACCGGAAAAGGTCATGCTGCATATCATTCGATCCGTATCGTCGAGCTGAACATATCTGAGGTGTTTTCATCGCTCCAGTATGTCTATCAGAAGTCGTCAGAAACTGGGAGAGCTTTCATGGCTGAGATAACCTCAGTGGCATAAAGTGGGGGTCATGGTTGGTAATTTTCTGATTCAGGGTGTCATGTTAGCCTGCTATCCGATGTTTTAGAGTGGTCGGTGGCTATATTGACTTGTCGAAAAGAGGTGCATTTCAGTTTTATCCCATTAACTTGACTATAATAGATATTTCACAAAATTGGCCTGACGGCTGACCTTAAGTCACCGTTATCAATATTCCCAGATATGCATTTTATAAATGATGCTGCCCTTATCACTGGCTGAAGTTTCAAAACAATCGTTCAGTCGGTGTAACTATGGCGAATACCTATAGGAATTTTTCTGAGGTGAGGTCACTTCACGTGACCTGGTGACCTGACCTAGAACGACCTGGGTTCGACATTTTCACAATATGTGCAGAAACGATACATGATAGGGCGTGTCAAAAATATTGAAAAACTTGCGGGGAGCATGCAAAAACGCCCCCACCCCAGCACGGCGCGAGCTAAGCTTGAATGATGATTTGGATATGCAGTGATGATTTATAAAGTTAGGAGTAAAAAGTTATAAAAGTGAAAGTTAGAAGCTATAAGATATGTCTAAGACATTTAGCGAACAATCTGCCGCTCTTAGGATGCAAAACGAACAGCCGGTAGTCTGTTATATCATGTTGTATGCAAAACTGCTTTGAAGCCTGTCTTGCAGTTATCGCGTCATTATCCGCTCGTCGGGTCCCTAGTATGAAGCCTTGGTATGAAGTATCCGTTTGTCAGGTCCCTCCTTCCGCACTCGGGTCGCGCCCTCCCCCAACTTACCGCCACTGTCAGCCTCATCCTGCCCCTGGCGGCGCTCTGGTCCTTCTGACTGGTGGGTGGGTGGGCCAAAGTAGCACGCCCCTGTGTTGGGGTGGATGGGACACGCCCTCTTATATGCACGGAACCGGCGGCGGGCGCCACAGCTGCGTGCCAAGGCATCAGAACGCGGCGGGACAGGCTGACGGTCCTCGCCAGACATACTTCCGATGAGGAGAATGACGGAGCATGAAATATGGGGAAATACGGATTGAGAATGGCTGATAAAACGCGGTCAAAATTACTTTGAAATGCACTGTTGACCCAATGTTACTTTGGGATTCGATCTCATTTCGTGAAGTGTAGGCTGGTCTAGACGACTGACGATTCGCGACGTCTGGTTTCTGTGATTCATTAAACGAAACGCGATGCAAGCTTGATGCCTTGCCTAAAGGTGAAAAACATCGTAATTCAATTCGTGAGAGGCAACACCATTTTCATTGCAAAAAAAAATGATTGAAAAAATCTACTTTTACCAGCTGACATGGAGCTACTGGGGACCGGTATAATGATTAGAACAAAATGGCCATTATCATTGTGTCAAAATAGACCACCAATTACTTGCTACGTGAAAGAAGTGTTAGTTACTTGCGCATCGTAATTCATTGTCTTACAGGCACATGTCTGTTGAAATCGTTTTGCAGCATTATGCCGCACTTTGCGAAGCTCGACTTTTCTGTTGGCCTGACCTGTGACGCCATTGGTTATGTGAAGGTCATTGAATTTGATATTTTATGAGTGACATTTCAAATTAAGTGATATACCTACCACAGTTATGTACCGTGTGATTATATGATCGCGTGATTTGACGCTTAGTATTGGTCTCCCCCAAATCAAATAAAAGTAAAATAAAAAATGAAAACAATGAAAAATCGGCACGATGACTAAGCGGCGCGAAGGTCAAGTCTGACTCGACATTGCACTCGTCAGCCCAATGTCGAGACCCGCACATGCTGGCATTGTCGGTGCAGCCTCGGGTGTCGATCCGGCGGCGGAAACAGATCACTGCTCCCGTGCTCGTGACGTCAGTGCTAGCAGGTGTCCTCCGCTGCCTCTGTCAGCGATCCCAGACGAGAACAGCTGCGTTTTTATCATTGTCACAGCTCTCCACCAGCCTGATATCCTCTGTCCTGGTTTCCTATCAAACGCACGGCGATTGGGGGAAGCAGTTTTAGGGCGTGCGATTGCACAATGCAGAGTGCACTTGCATGAAATGGATATGACTTATGGCCTGAATTATGTCATCATCATTCTAGCTACATAGGGTAAGCAGCTTCCGGCCCGCAGACCGGAACCCAACTGTTTAATGCCTGTTTCAAATGTTGTGTTTGCTGGTCGTATATACGTATCCTCGGTATATTATATCGGTATTGTATTGGTTCATCCTGCCCTCCATCCGCTTCCTTTGGGTTTCATTGGGCCCGCTCCCGAAATGGCTTCAATTTATGAAAATTGGATCGAGGTGTGGTGATGAATGTTTTTTATGTTTCGTGTGACCTAGCCTGACCTATTCCCGTCCATATATATCCATATGACCCCATTGTACTCAGGCCGACCCTGTGTGACTAGACCTGACTTGTTCTTTCGTGCCGCAGCTGGCCGTAGTGTGTTGGTGTTTGGTATGACCTGCTGACCTGACCTGACATGACGTGACCCGTCCCTTTGTGCCTCAGATGACCGCAGTGTGGTGGTGGACGGCTGTTTGGTAACCTGATGTGACCTATGGCCCCTCTGTGCCACAGATGACTGTAATGTGGTGGTGCTGTGACCTGACCTGACCTGACCCGACCCGTGACCCGTTCCTATGTGCCTCAGATGGCCACAGTGCGGTGGTGGACGGCCCTGGTGTGACCCGACCTGACCCATAACTCGTCCCTATGTGCCTCAGATGGCCACAGTGCGGTGGGTGACGACCCTGGTGTGACCCGACCTGACCCGCGACCCGTCCCTATGTGCCTCAGATGGCCGCAGTGCGGTGGTGGACGGCTCCGGTCTGGGCTCAGCCGAAGAGGCGGCGGCCATCCACCAGCAGAACGCCGCCGCCCTGGCCGCCATGACTGAGGAGGAACGACTTGCATCTCAGCAGCAGCTCGCGACCAGCATCGACCCCAAACTACTCGAGTTCATTCGCAAACGCCGCGCGGCCGCTGCTCCTGAGCCCAGCAAGCGACCTCCCCCAGAGGATGGAAGTCGACTCGTCCCGAGCGACGCTGCTCCGAGCCAGGCCGCAGCCGGACATCCAGAGGGCGAGTCCACAACACAATCGGCGGGGGAGGTCAGTGCTCCTATGGATACGACGCCTCCTAACGACGCGGCGATGGCAGAGCTGGAAAAGGTCAAAGATCAGCTTCCAATCGACATAGACGAGGCGCGTGCCTGGCCTCACATGGACAAAATCGAGCCAGAAAAGCTGCTTTGGATGACTGAACTACCTGCGCCCAAAGTCGAGAACGTGAAGACTGGATTCACCGCGCGGTTCGATTTTGAAGGTGAGATATTGCCACCTGTCGATTCTGCACTTGCATTGCTCTGATTTGTGACCTCAGTGACCCCAGTAATTTGTACCATAAAGCCGGGATGTCGTAGTTAATCAAATCGCAGGTGTCCGTCCCGAGGCCATCACAAGTGGCTAGCTCGGCTGGTTTTTCCTGTTGCGAGGGTGAATCGGCATGTTGAATGATGCAGCGCGATTCAACGGACGTCACATGGGTTAACGACCAACTCCGACAGCAGTGGGCACCTATTATTGGCAGCGGAAATGGGGTAGCAGATTTGGGAGAAATTGTCATTCGTGGGGTATTACGAGTACATATTTGAGAAAGTAAATGCAACAAAGAACCGTCGTAAATCGTTATTCTAAAATAATGTATAAAAGCATTGATTGTTAGTCGTTAAATCAATATTAAGTTTAAATTAGATACACGATTACCTGTAACTTGATATCGATTACACCGCGGATGACAACGACTAACAATCAATGGTTTTATACAATTCTTGAATAGCGATTTATGACAGATCTTTGTTGCTGCATTTACGTTATCAACCTGTCTAATTTCATCGACATATTACATATTCATTTCACTTGATGTGTGCTGGCAATATGTGATATCTTCATCTTCATCTTCATCTTCGTGTTATCGGGGAAAGAGGCACGATGTCCTGTAGGGCCCGTTCTCGCCGATTTCCATAACTTCACTTAGTACTCAGTCTGTTACAGGAGTGGAGTACCAGATCGACTCCCAGTTGTGCATCCAGCCTGTCTTAAAGACGGACTGAGGGCGAATGTACAATTCTGCTGGAAGCCCGTTCCAAATCTTTA